GAGAGAGAGAGGGAGGGGGGTGGGCCAAAATTTTCCAAGCAACTGTTGTACAGAAATTTTTGCAAGGCTATTTTCTGAATTACACTAGGCGTCATAAATGCCTTCCCGAGGTAACTAGGCGCAACAATAGATACGTATCTGATACGTATACATTTATGACGCCTAATAGTGTACACAATAGTCGGGTACCCAGTGTAGTGATGAGAAGGTAAAATATTATGCATTAACAGAAAGATTAAATTATCATTTTTGCATCTTGAAAATGTCATCCTGAGAATGTCAGTTAATGGTCAATGACCAAAATGACAAAATTTAATGTCAAAGTAACATGTGCTTGTTATCTTGATTATTCTTTAATGCTAATCTGAATTTTATTTTCGAGAATATACATATATACGTTTTATATCATTTATAATCTATTTTCGCTCTTATAGCAAATCTTCACGTATCCAACCATTAGCTCGATGTCTGGAGTAATTTCACCGACTAATTTGTCTCTATTCTCGTCTCCTGTCTCGGTAACGAGACCGGTAGCCACTCAAAGGTCTGTCTCTAATGTCCCACCGCGTTGGAATACCGCGCCATTTATCAATTTGGAAGACGATTATAACATGATTGCACCGATCATCGCTGGAACAAACAGTGAGCCACCAGCTACTATGGAGGAAGGTAAAGCTATATTTTATCAGCATTGAATAGTAATATATTTTTCTTTTTTTGTTTAAATTAAGAATATATTACAATTAAATAGACAAACGCATTTAACGAATCAAGATTGGATCTTGTTAGTGTCTAATAATATTTCTATGTAAATTTTTAAATATATTTTTCAGTTATTTAAACCGTGTTAATTACTATCGGATTTGCATTGCAATTATTAGGTATAAACTAAAGCTGAAATAATAATTAAAAATTAAATTAATCTTTAATTTAATAATAATGATGCTAAACATTTTAAAACATTGTAAAGAACTTATTGCTAAAAATATTACCTCAACCAGAGTTCGAATCTGGTAACTTCGCAGTATTTTAAGATGCAATATTAGTGCACATTATTATTAAATTAATAAGATTAATTTAATTATTAATTTAATTATTAAATTAATAAGATTAATTTAATTTGTGATCTTATACTGTACTATTACAGCTTTAATTTGTGATTGCGTTGTCCGACAGTAATCGACGCGCAGTTTAAATAACTAATAAATGTATTTAGAATTTAGAAATATTATTACGCATCAAGAACTAGCCTTAATTAAAGACATTTCTTTATTTAATTGTTGTGGTATTCAGTTAGAGTTTAATTAAATTATTCTAATTTAACTTATTGTAAAAATATATTGTTTCAGAACGGTATTTTCATCCCGTACATACAAGTGGCGTAGCAGATAAAAATGGCAGTGGTAATTTAATAGGCAACGAACTTGGAGTAAACACAGATCCTACATCGCATCATCATCAACAGCAACAACTTCCACAGCAGCAGCAGCAACAGCAGCAGCAACAGCAACAACAAATACAGCAACAGCAATCATCTTCACAACAGCAGCAGCAGCAGCAGCAGCAAGTAATGGCAGATAAACCCAGCGGGCCTAAGTCTCCTCCGTGACAGTGGAGTCTGAGAACGGAAAGTTTCGAAAGACTCACGAATTCGCCGTGTTTGTCAGGATCGATATTTAGCATTGCGTATAATAATTATGCCGAAGTCACGGCTGAAGCCGAGTTCGAGAGTAATTGTCAGGAAATTATGCCTCGTATTCAATTACGTGATTTAAACTTACGAAGAATAGAATGTTTAAGAGTTCGATCTTAATATATATGTTTTAAAGTAACAGAATAAGAATGCTTTTCAAGGAATGCAATTGAATAAAGAGGTCCGTTGATTCATATTTATCAGGATAGATTAGTATTATACAAAGTTTCATATTGTGACAACCTAACCAAGTATTCAATAATAGTATAGTTTATCGTGCGATAGAATTTGCGACGCTTAGAATAGCGCTTAGATAAGTTAACGTTGCTATGCATGCCTTATCCTACTCGAGAACAGAAACTTGTCTACGTACAGTGTAGTGGAACAATATTGTTCAAGCTATAATGTAATATATTTAGATAAAACGACAAATTTTAAAGTCTCAAATTTAGTATAAACAGTTGGACACAATATTACTATTGTGGAGTATTGTTTGGTTTGTAATCAACTACGTGCAGAACTGCACTTATATCAATTGATACATAGTCTATGAGTTAAATGGTCTAAATCGTTCTTTTTTTCATTTCTTTGCTTCCTTTTTTCCCTTTTTCCTTTTCTTTTTCTCTTTTCTATTCTTGTGGCTCGAAATATACAGGGTGAGGAAAAAGTATGGAAACCTTGAAAAATCTAAAAAAATATAAGTTTTACAGAAAAATGTTTCTGACAAAAGTTGTAGGGTTTAAAAAGGTCTATTTATTGATTTTATCAGTTTGACCTTGGGTGGCGTCGCCAAGGTTAGGTCAAGGTCACATCGATTTTTTTAAATAATACACTCCATTTTTCATTGAATATTCTTATAGCACACCTCGAGAGCTTTCCAAAACACATAGATAAAATATTTTTTGGTTAAATAAATCTCGAGTTATTATGCTTGAAAGTAACAGTACCACCGGCATTAGCATTATCTAAA